AAGGTACTATGCGCTTCTTACTGACAGGCTGAGCTGACATTGGCGCTTCATTTTCGCCACTTGGTATGATAGTAGAACGGCAAACCATAGACGTCACATTGTCCTCAGAGTTCTAGATATGAAACAACATTATGACACAAGATCAGAAACACAAGTTAATTGTATAAAGACAATTTACAGCTCCATAATCAATTATCCATAACCGCTTATTCACAATACATGTGAAACAATTTGATACATAAAATACATAACACAAAATAGACTCGGATGAAGTTTGTAAATTTGCACATTTGATACCAGAATAAATACTGGACAGATTCTGGTAGTGAACTTATATGAATATAATTTAACAAACAATAAATACTTGAAAAAATATTTAAGAAACATGGGAAAAAAATCAAACTCTAGAATTTGGATCTTTGTATAAATTTGGTTACTATGGATGCTTGAATTTCAGGCTTTATTCACTGTTAGGGCATTGATTTAATAATAGAACCCAATCATAGAATGCATTTTATTTAATACTATGTCTACGTGAACTAGAACACTGCACTACAGTGTAAATCTATAAACCTTAATAAATCAGTATGTAAAAGAGTAGTAATTATGGTACATACCTCTGAATAGTAAGTGACATTATCTCTACACACAGCTTTTCCATTTCCATGATTACCACATAGACTGACATTGAATAAATGGTAATATCGAGTTCCTTTAGCAGTGAAACTTGGCGCACTCATTATGTTACGAAATCTATTAACAAAAAAAAGAGCATAACAATTACACTGTAACAGTTTTAAATGTACTGAAAAATGTACAGGTATGCTGGAATATTAGTTCCAAGACACAGCAAATGTACAACTCCATTATTATGCAACGGCAGTCGGTGACATGATTCTAATTAACATTTATACAAGTACCGGTATGTACATTTTATGGGGAAAATTTGTTACATTTAAATTATTTTGTATACAACACATGCAATTTTTGGTTAATATGTGCTTCTAATAGAGCAAATAGGGTACTATCATAGACCTCTTTCATAAGTCAAGCGCCCGCAAGGACTTCTTGTTTCAGGAGGCCAGTAGACAGTGGAGTTTCTATACCTACTGGCCTTTCTTTCAGATCTTCTAAAACAGGAAGTGCTTGAGGGCGCTCGACTTATGAAAGGGTCTATTGAGCATACCATTGCGATATACTTGTTAATACTAATCTTGTCTTATCATGCACATTATCTGATTACTTTTTTTAATAGTGACAAAGTAAGTGAGGGTTTCATGCATCAAGGTATAACAGACAATTTCATCATGTCAAAAGAGGTGGAATAAACTTACTCCTTTAGAGGTGAGAAATCATAGACAGAGCCTGTTGTTGGTGAGATATAATGACAATCACTTTCACACACAGTACCATTATGACTGGTAGTCCCAGGACCACAATCCAAACATGACTCTTCAACAAATGGATTACCGGCTTGAATATATGTCCCTTGTGAATACACAGAACAAACAGAAAATCAGAACCTGAATGGTTTTATAAGCAGCAAACATCACATTTGGCAGGTTTCGTTTTCCTGTTTTGCTCGTGAGAGATATTCATGTCACCTGAGAGAGTGGGGGCTACATGACCTCTACAGGTCAGAATCCAGTAAGTTCAGAACTGACACTACAGTTGGTACCAGGGTGATAACTTAATGGTACAGTTAAAAGTCAAGGAAGGGAGAATGTTCAAAACATGATTATTCCAAAATTTTGACTTACCTGCAGGACATGCTTTACACTTGTCGCTATTATTTGGAATATAATGACCTGGTGGACACGGAATACATCTACACAAACAAGAAATGTTACCCAAAATTAATTGCAGAATCAAGTTTTTATTTTTATAGAGATGTAGGGCAGACACTGATTTAGGAAGTCTCCAAAGTTGTCAAAGTGGCCGGCACACAAATACAATATGGCACATGTGAAAATGTAGGTTTATGGAGTGAGAATACAACTCTAAAAGTCTTACCCTTTCACATCACTGCCTCTGGGGCATGGTTTACACACTGAAGCTCCTCCATCTACAGTATTGGTAACATTAATGAGATAAATTTTTGCCCTGTAAAATAAAAACACTTTCAGTGAATTCCACAAAATAACATTATGTAATGAGATAAGCCATTGAAGCTTATGATTTCTGGCAAACTGAGCATTCAAAAAAAACAAAAAGGTTTACTTCTTGTCATTGCGGTAATTTGAAACCTGGAATAGTGTGTACTATTTTTATAGAAATGGTGGTGGCATAATACTTACATATCATCTCTGTAATCAACTGCATCACGTTTATAATCATCGTTATTAGTTTTCTGAAATGCCCAACTGAATGTTCTTGGCCCTGACTTGGTTACTGAGTAACTATAGAGAAAAACATAAATTAAGCTAGTAAGACATTTTACATTGGACAATTTGCAAAATTTATAAAAATTAAATGCCTGGATTAAGATGTGAGGCAGCTTTATTTAAAATGTGGACGTAACAGTGTCGTTCACAGTTCTAGTGTATAATACAAGGTGAGCTGAGATCTTCAAACCATTTGGTTGCCTTGCTTTTTGTTTTGAACAATATGTCTAATAGTTCAAAAAGTTCTGTTAACAATAAAACCTGTCAACACAAAACATATTTTATATATTCTCCATGGCTTGTGTAATTTCAAAACAACTTTACAAATTAAATTAATTAATTAAAATTAAATGCCTGGATTAAGATGTGAGGCAGCTTTATTTAAAATGTGGACGTAACAGTGTCGTTCACAATTCTAGTGTATAATACAAGGTGAGCTGAGATCTTCAAACCATTTGGTTGCCTTGCTTTTTGTTTTGAACAATATGTCTAATAGTTCAAAAAGTTCTGTTAACAATAAAACCTGTCAACACAAAACATATTTTATATTTTCTCCATGGCTTGTGTAATTTCCAAACAACATTACAAACAATATCTTCAGTCTTGCATTTCACTGCCATGTATATTTCCATTTTCAAAATACTTATTTATTGCAGAAATTTATCTTCATCTCTATACCAGTATAAAAATATATATTTCATATCTGATACAATATGCTAAATATTTAACTGAATACAAAAAAACAACAGAAATGTTAACAAGAGCTATTAAAAAAATAGTCCAATGGTTGACTGACACCAGAGACGATTCCACGTCACATTAGTCTAATCTAAATCATGCATCTATGTCGTATAAAGTATTCCAATATTCAACCTGGTCCACCCAAAATATACACAAACCATGTACAGGCAATAACGACCGCATCATGTTATAACATCTACGGTATATATTAAACGCATGCAATTCAAATGACCTCAGAAATTTGATAGACACCTGTGGCAACTGTAAAAACCATATTACATTGTACTTGCAAACTATTAGAACATGTCTCTTCTATTATGCATGCAGATAACATGTTTGTTACTATCCCCCAATATCCCACAATGCAAGAGAATTCAGACATTCACATGCATGTATCATTCACACTACCCAGCATGCATCATCAGACACACCTGACCCACACACTGCTTAGTTACAAGCCTCATTCTGAAAATACTGTAAACCATTTAATTTTCACATGTATTCATGAAGACAACAGTTTGAGACGGAAAGTCATCATAAAATTGTATTGTCAGAAAAATTCAGTAGGAGCCTTTTGGCCAAAAATCATATCTGAAAGTTATGGTTATTCTGTAAAAAACATGACATATTGTGCTTTAGTTATTTTTTGTCTTGACTACAA